TTTTAAATTTTGTGTGAAAATAAGTCTAGGACTACAAATGCGCTTCACAAAAGTGATGTCATCAAACCAGACACAGAGAAAACTGAGGGAAAATGGCTGTAAGGTCAGCGAACTTCCTTCAGGAGGAAAGAACCACCATAAATCTGGTCATGTGGTAAGTAGCAGCTACGCTAGGGGAGAGGAGATTATATGGTAACGGCACATATGTGACGTGCCGATTTCTAGTTTGCAGTCATGCTAATTACAAAGTTTTACAAGCTAATAAATCTCAAAGTACGTGACTGGCGTGGTCGAAACACCCATCATTACTTTTTATTTAAATTGCAGTACAACATGTGTGCTATCCAGGGTGTAAGGCAAAGCGGATTAGAGAATAACGTTTTAGCCCTGTTGACTTGCATTCATTTTTTCGTTCTTCTTCCGGGGACCCGTGAGCCGACCAAAAAGGGACTTATGCTTAGGCTCTCTAGAGACAAGTCCCTCCTCTTTGACAGAGGCATTGAAGTGTCAGCATGTTAAATGGGCTGCATGGTGGCGCAGTTGTTAGCACTGTTGCCTCGCAGCACGAAGGTTGCAGGTTCGAAACTCGGCTGCAGCCTTTCTGCGTGGAGTTGCGTGTTCTCCCCATGCATGTGTGGGTTTCCTCCGGGTACTCCGGTTTCCCCCACAGATCACAACATGCCCTATAGGTTATAAATTGTAAGTCGCTTTGGATAAAAGCGCCTGCCAAATAAATAAACATAAACATAAATCAAATGTGTCGATCTATCATGTGCTTGCGGACCATTTATTGGTTTTTAAAAATTCTGGAACATGTAGTGTTGATTTCAAACATAAGTGCTGTTGACCCTTGAGAGACAAGCTATTGCTCATCCTCACTGTAATGTCAGTGTTTCCTTACTTGGTCAACTTAATGACAAATGTCATTTTATGGTGAGCTGTTCTCTAGTTCTGTCTACAGAAACAACGCCTTATCCTTTAGATAATTATATGTTGAAGACATTTTAGCAGTCTGCAGTATAGGCACAGCCCAGGAAGGACCAGATGGACCTTTATTTATAGAGCAGTTAACTGTGGTTTAAACATAGTTTAGGTGGTTTGTTTAGGTTCGTCATGGAGATACCATCAAAACACTCATTCTTTCTTCTGAATAAAATCATGACGCGGAAAATACCATTATATATATAGAATTAGATTGACACATTTTGGCAGCACAAAGAACTAGTAAAACACACAACATTTATCATAATAATTGTAGGTAGACGAGATGATGGAGAGACGGAGGAATCTGGAGATTGGCAGCTTGGGTGCGCATAAGGTGGAATGCTTCGTACACAGTCAAAAATAAGGATATGGAAAGGGTATTGTTGTGCCCCAAGGGACAAAAATGACATTAACTCAGTCTGAGGAATAATATAGGACTTCAGGTATCTATCTGTACCTTTTTTGTTGTCTGAAAGGTACATATACGTACCTTAGTAGTAAAAGCTACACACACACACACACACACACACACATATATATATATATATATATATATATATATATATATATATATATATATATAAATCGGAGATACTTTATTAATCCCAGAGGGAAATTAGAGTTTCAGTACACACAATTCAGACCAGGAGGGCAGCTTTGCTCTGCAAAAAACACCTCAGGAGGAGGGAAAAAAGGCACTTCACAGCTACCCTCCCAAGAATTGGTGACTGTGGTCATTCGCAACCCCGAGTCACGCTACCTTAATAAATCTCCTTTACCTTTTTTTTTTTTTTTTTTTATCAATCAAAGATACTTATATATATAGGCCCACTGATTAGAAGATTGTATACACCTGTGATGCCTACTAGTGGAAACACCTTGAACACTTTTGTCAAAAAGATATTTCTGTGTTACGGCATGTCTTTCAGTGACCAGTGGGTACCAACAATTTTGTCCATGACTGTATGTGACTGAGAAGGTCAGCATCATCAAGTTTCATTTGACATTTTTTTTCTGTCACAAAAATGATGGTTTTTAAGACTTTTGTTTAGATTCTGGCATAATCCTGGGAGTGTTTCTGACTTTGTTAGTTAGCCTCGGTAACCAGAGGAAAATGCCTTTTAGAGCAAAAACAAAAGTATGTGTGTGATGACAACAGCTCTGCTTTCATCCTCGCTGACATCAAAAGGGCCGTCTTCACTCACATTCTCAATATTTATCATACACCTCGAATGGAGGGGTTTCAATTCAAGGATGGGAAACAAAAGGACAAACACACTCTCAAGTGTTTTGATGTTGGCAGCATGGCATTAATGCTGATACAAGCTGCTCCACACACACACACACCTTTTATAGTTCTGAATCTGATCTTACTTTCTGGTCTGAGTCTTTCTCTGTCATGGCTCTGGGCCCACCGTTCTGCCAGCCCAGTGGATGCCGATGTCAGTTCTAAGAAAATGATGTAGCCTTAAAACTTGGCTGGTTCAGATCATATTTGTCAGATAGACAATTTAGTGTTCACATTGACAGCTTTTCCTCTCCATCAACTCCACTTCGCTGGGGTGTGCCTCAGGGTTCGATTCTAGGGCCGCTCCTATTCTCGATTTACTTATTGCCATTGAGGATGATTCTGACAAACCTCGGAATAAGTGCACCTTTAAGCGGACGATTGCCAGATTTATCTGGCTTTAAGTAAACCTGACTCAACACGCCTCCTTGTCGACTGTATTACTGCAGTTAAAGGCTGGCTGTCGGAGAACTTCCTTTGCCTTAACGAAAAAAAGACCGACACCATTCTTTTTAATCCAATAAATCCAAAGCATGCACCTGGTGACTACCCTCTACCGTTTTTAAATCTTAAATCCTGTGTATCCAGTCAGGGAGTGAAACTTGACTCTGATCTGTTAATGAGTTCACAAATTAACTCTATAGTCCGGTGTCACGTTTGGAGGAAGGTATCTAACCCAAGACATGCAGAATGCAACACAGACCAAAAACGGATGGTAAAATGATTTATTTATAAAGGAGGAACTTAGGATGCACAGATAAGTCTGTGGTTGGAACTGCTACGACAGCTCAGCGTCTGGAGGAGGGAGACCACAGGTGAGCATAGGTTCTGATTCAGAAGTCCATTGTAGGCAGAGGTGTTCAGCAGAACTTACTGTGGGGCGTGTAGATGTTGGCTGGAGGAGGGAGAGGTAGAGAGCCGGGGGGAAGGGCAGGAGAGGGAGCACAGGTGGAGAGAAGCGGGGCGTCCTGGTGGATGGGGCACTGGGTTGAGATGAGAGTGGTTATGGAGGGTGGTGATATGGTCCGCGTGCTGAATATCCAAATCCTGGAGTAGAGGTAATTATCCAAAGAGGCCGACAGGAATCCTGAAGAAGGGTAAAAATCCAAATCAGTTCCAGGTGAAGCAAGAAAGGTCAACATCCAAAAATACTAAGAGCAAAAACACAACGAATAACATAATCCTAGAAATACTAGAGATAACTCGAGTGGCTGGCTACTACCAAGCTGAGGCAGTCTTCCGGTGTCGAATTGTGTCCTCCATCCACCTTAAATAGGAAAACACCCCGCTGATTGCTGATCAGGAACAGCTGGGCCACTCCCTCTCCTGGCAAGAGACTCACAGATGGTTGAGAAAGAGAGTACTCACCCTGGCTCATGACATCCGGTCCTGCTTTTTTCAACTACGTCGCATCTCGCGCTTCAAGTCAATAGTCAAACGACCTCAGCTGGAGACTGTTGTTCACATCTTTGTAACCACATGTTTAGACTATGCCAACTCACTACTTGTTGGTGTCAGCATCTCAGCAATCGAGCATCTACAGAGAGTGCAAAATGCGGCGGCTAGGACCCTGACAAACCCCTCAAGACGCTATCACATTTCACCCGTCCTTGCACGCTTGCACTGGCTGCCTGTTAAATACTGCATCCAATTTAAGGTTTTGACCTTTGTCTATAACATTCTGAATGGTCAAGCCCCGGCTTATCTTTCAGAACTGATAAAGCCTTATGCTCCAACCAGAAACCTGAGATCTGCAGATCATTTGCTTTTGCGCATCCCGGAAATGAGGTATAAATCTCATGGAGAGCGGGCCTTTGCGTTCACTGCTCCTAAACTCTGGAATGCTCTCCCCCTTAGTGTTCGACAGGCCCCAGAACTGGGTCGATTTAAGTCGGTACTGAAGGCCGTCTTCTATCATTTAGCTTTTATTCAATGATCTGGCTTTTAGTGTTTTTACATTTTATTGTGACTGTATTTTATTGTTGTATGTTTCCTTTACAATTTTTTTGATTTTACCTCTTACCTCCTATATGACTTTTATTTGTTTTTATCTTGGCGTTTGTCCTTTTTACTGTACAGCACTTTGGTCAGCTGTCATGCTGTTTTTAAATGTGCTATATAAAGAAACATGGTATGGTATGGTAAGAAAATGATGTAGCCTTCACAGACTCATAGGATTATTCCAACATACTAGCATCACAGATAAGATTTGGTTTCTGTGTCGGGAGCCGTCGGTGCTCCGGGAGCATCTGTCCGGCTAATGGAAAGATCCTTCTTACATCTCCTGGCTAAAATGTCTGGAAACCCAGGGTTAGGAAACCGTCTCTTGGAAGTGGTCCATTTTCATTTCAAAGCATGTGCGCTGACTGACTGACTTCCTCCCTGGTTTACATTTTGTCAAGAGTGGAGTCTGAGGCATGTGGCTCAATTAGCATATCTCTGAAAATGAGAGAACTCAAGTCTAGGAAAATCCTGCACCACAACATTCTCAGAAAATCTCCACAGGGAACTGAATGTCAGAGCCTCCCACTGAGGCAACAAGGAACCTCCTGTTCAACCACAAGTAGCTGGAGGTTGCAAGATGATGTAGAAGTTTGTTCACATGAAAATCACTCTAGATTGTACCTGAAGATGCAAATTTTTTTCTGTTCATTTTATGAAATGTGACATTTTAAAAAGAAAAGTAGTTGAAAAACAAGGTGATGTTTGTCTTCTTGAATCTCTATAGAATCCTACTTTGGGGACAGTGTCTGCAGTCTACAAGTCATCCAAGATGTCTCCACCTTTCAGCTGTCTTTACAAATCAAGACGAGTCGTCGGAATGGGCTCTTGCTCCTGGCTGCAGGAATGGAGGATTACCTTTTCCTTGAGCTCATAAATGGGAAAGTACAGGTAATCCAAAAGGAAAATAATTAATTCCAAATAACACACTTAGAAGAAAACCTAGCACATCAGTCTTAGCAGCCAGTGGGGCCCATGCCTAAATGCTGGGTTAGATGGTTTCCTGTAGCAGCTCATTAGTTATTCACTTGCTGATTGGGAACCTGCTCTGCTGGCTGTTTTAACGATTGTTAGCCCAAAATATCCATTATGGTCTGTAAGTCTTAGTTCAGATGTTTAATAGCTGTTGTTGGGAGCTCAGTGAACAGCGGCAGTTTGTAGAAATAGAGATTAGTTCTGACTGACAAACTAACAGCTAAGAGTGTACTGCTGGTGTTGTTATGGCATTTGTGTAAATCCTCTTTATAAGCCTATAACTTGGTATGTGATTGTTGTTCTTAGTTGTCCCCAAAACTGTTGTAGTAACTATTTAAATTTAAAAAGTAACATAGAGAAAAAAATTTGACAAACTTCAAGTCAATCATCCACATGTTCCTATTGATATTATAGCTTCACCTTCACCAGGGTGGACTTTACCGTAGCGAGCTAATCCCAAAATCCAGGCTTTTTTTTTTTTAATCCCAGTTTAACTTCCTTAAATTCAGTAATAAGAAAGTGGCTGTCCTGAAGCCCCTCCCATTCACCATGGTGACACATGCTGGAGAACAAACATGCTCTGTGGCAGGCTTGCTGATGCTCGGTGAATCGGTCCTTGTCAGGTGACGTAACAGGTGCTGTACTGCGTTGCATGATTCAATTCAATTCAAGTTTATTCAAATCAGGACCAGAGTCGCCTCAAGGCACCTCACACAGTAAACCTTCCTATACAGGTCAGTTCATTAAGCCAGTCAGCAAAGATGGGATAGCTAGGTGTAAACAAAGGAAGCACCAATCCCTTTATGTTGTTGTGAGCTTATAAACCTGCATCTCACCCTCTGTGCTGCCCTCACGACACGTGACCATGTGAAGCTAGACAGCCAGTGAACAAAATAGATGAGATCTCCACACAAGGCTTGCTTTTCTTGATTTTACTGAAGATCTTTTTAAGCCTTATCTCTCTCAAGGCTTCTCCTTGCTATTTCTTATTTGTAACTGAAACATACAGAGAGTGAAAATAAATTGCTAGCTAATACACATCTTAATGAGAACTTAAAGATTAGCCTAGCTTAACACGTACGTTACATTAGCATCACAGTTCACTCCATGTAAACTAGGGCTGCACGATATTAGGAAAACCTGCGATATTCGATAACAGTGCTTAATATTGCGATATCGATATTACTCACGATAAATGAACAAATACTAAAGTATGCAGTGTTGATGTCGTCTGGCGTGTAACGTCTGCTCGGGGGTCAAAGCAAACAAAAACTAATGCATGAATTCCATTACAACGTAACATTTTTATTGCAAAAATATGCAGCTGCACCTGCTACTGTATTAGCAGCAAAACAACAAACTGCATGCATGCAGTTTCTCAGTGACTTTTAAACATCACCTCCACCATAAAACTTTTTCTGATGCTCCAAATACAGAAAAACATCCCTTACCAGGGTTTTTAGAATAAATAAAAAAATCTGAAAATAAGTGTAAATGTTAAATAATAGTTAACATCACTTAAATGCAACAGCAAATTCTCTCATTGCTACTGAACATTTTCTCCACTTATGTGGTTATGATATAAGGCTGTTGCTGTAATTGGGAAGTGAACTGTGCTGGGCCAAACTAGGAGAAAATTAAGATTTTCTGAGGGAAAGAGAAAAAACATTTGTCTACCTTTCAGAAGAGGAACTGGCAAAAAACTACATGGAAAATATATGAAAACGTTTGTTTTTAACCCCAAATTGAACAAGTTTACCTAGATCTCAAAAAGCAGCTCAGATGATGAAACTGCACCTATGATTCTGATAACAAGTTAACTAATTGAACTAGCTCCTCTTAAGAAAACCGGCTAGCAGAGCTTCTGACTGACAGTTTATGTGCAGCAGCAAATCAACTATCCTGATTAACAAGGTTATAAAAGCTCATAAATGAAAAATCACTTTGATGTGTGGGGGAACTTTTCCAGGCCCTCTTTAGCAGGGTGGGACTGGGAGGAGAGTGCTGTAGCCTTTTAGCTGGAAGCTAACCGGAGCCTGGGGCTAACGGTGGGTTGGTTCACCGGCACGTGTCGGAGTCAGCCCGGTTATTATCAGCTGCTTAACGACACCGAGCGGACTCACGTTCACGTTTGAAAGCAGCGCTGATTCCAGAAACCTCAGCACAAAGTGCGTTCGTTGCTCTGAGCTAGCATGACGAACAAGGGAACGGCGCCGCTAATACAATTCGGGTGTTGGGTTCAGCGTTCCACCCATCCTAAGGGTCTACGTCGGGGGCGGGCGTATTACGTGAACGGACCCATCTGATTGGCCGCCTATCAGAAGAGCTACATTTGATTGGTCAAATAATACTTCCGCGTAAAAAACAGAGCTGGTTTACAAAAAGTTGATGTGTGAAACGGATGGAAATGTTTGAACCAAACATTTATCGCCGTTTTTGACGTGCTTTGCGATGGGCCTATCGCACGTCCTGTTATCGCGATGACGATAATTTTTCGACATATTGTGCAGCCCTAATGTAAACACATATAAAAGTTATTTCTGAACACATTAATACTTACAAAGACGAATGTTTCCCAAGGTACAAGCATGTAGGGCACTTATAGCGTGTACATTAACTTATTCACCGTTTTAATACTGCCGAAGCACTTTTCACAGCGTTTGCGGAGAAAAAACGTCAAAGATAGGTGAATGATCACAGCGCTCACTCGCTCCCATTTCCGCACGTACAATACAAAGATCGCTTGTGATAATGATGTCTTACTCTGAGCAAATTTCAAACCCACACATTTTAACTGTTTTTAGCATGAATCACACATTTCTTAACTTTGAACTTATTTATCACCTTGCTTACGTAACTTAATCAGATTATGCACTAACTACTGACTTTTGACCAAAAGGCATAACACCCTCCACGGGTGGTCTCATCCTTCCAAGGGTCCTCTACCAGAGGCCTGGGAGCTTGAGGGTTCTGCAGTGCCTTAGCTGTTCCTAGAGCGGCACTTTTCTGGACTGAGATGTCTGATGTTTTTCCTAGGATGTGCTTTAGCCTCTCCTCCGGTCTGGGGGTTACTGCCCCGAGTGTCCCGATGACCACGGGTACCACCAATGTCTTCACTCTCCAGGCTTTCTCAAGTTCTTCTTTGAGGCCCTGGTACTTCTCTAGTTCTCGTTTTCCTGATGTTACATCACTTGGTATCGCCACATCAACCACAACAGCTGTCCTCTGTTGTTTGTCCACCACCACAATGTCCGGTTGGTCCACCATCACCATTTTGTCAGACTGGATCTGAAAGTCCCAACAGGAGCTTGGCTCTCTCGTTCTCTACCACCTTAGGGGGTGTTACCCACTTTGACATTGGGGCTTCCAGTCCATACTCTGCTCAGATGTTTCTGGACACGATGCCAGCGTCTTCCATTTATGCTTTCCCTGCCAGCATCTCACACCTTGCAGTTATGTGGTGGACGGTCTCAAGGGCCTCTAGCCTACACCTTGGGTATTGTCTGGTGTGGTAGATCTTGGCCTCTATTGCTCTGGTTCAGGGCCTGTTCCTGTGCAGCCATGATGAGAGCCTCTGTGCTGTCCTTCAGACCAGCTCTTTCTAGCTATTGGTTGGATTTCTTGATATCAGCTTCTTAAGTTATCTGTCTGTGGTACATCTCATGTAGGGGTGTGTCCTCCATGATAGTATTTCCAGTGTCTCCTCCTCTGTTTGCCATTGAGACATTCACTGAGCACGTCATCTGTTGGGGCCTAACGCCCGGAACCCACCAGACGCGGAAGCGCATTGGAGCGCCGTGGAACGACAGGCAATTCTCATTGGTGCCCTTGTTAACCTACACTCTCAGTCACATCAGCTGCAAAGCGCTGCGAAGGCTCGCGGCGTGCAGCGATCATTTCGGCGTGAGCTCTACTTTTTTGTGAGCTGTGAGTGAGCAGCGTCAATTGTGGCAGGAAGTCAAACCAAAGCAGAAGAGGCGGGCTGGTAAATTTAATAAAATTAAAGAAAGTTTTCTAAATAAAACACTGTGACTGATAAATGTGATCATTTTTGTTTATCTAAACTGAATAGAGAGATGAAAATGAACACACACACACATATAGCGGAGAAACATATTGTTTCCATAATTTTAAATGCAATTTTTACAGTAAAAGATGGATAAACGTGAATACAAAGAAATACACAGCAGCAGGACCAGCGCAGTTTCCGTTATCAACAAACGGGGCAAAAACACGTGCACACACACACACACACACACACACACACAGGACAGTGGAATGCAAAGTTTTGGGCAGCCTTGCTATGATTTTTCTAAATAAATCATTGGTTGTTACAACAGAAAATTTTAGTTAAATATCTCATAGGAGACACACACAGTAACATTTGGGAAGTGAAACTAAGTTTATAGGATTTTCAGAAAGTGCAATAATTGTTTAAACACATTTTTTATTCCAAAACTGTTAGAATTATTGGAACTCAGAATTTGCTTGGCAAGCTCAGCGACCCTTGACCTCCATACACAGGTGAATCCAATTATGAGAAAGAGTATTTAAGGGGGCCGATTGTAAATTTCCATCCTCATTGAATATTCTCTGAAGAGTAGCAAGATGGGGTCACAGAACAACTCTCAAATGACCTGAAATCAAAGATTGTTCATCATCCTGGTTTATGGGAAGGGTCCAGAAAGCTGTCTCAGATTTCAGCTGTCTGGTTCCATAGAAGTGAAGAATGGTGAGAACAGTCAGTCACCCACAGACCAGCACCAAAGACCTACAGCATCATCTTGCTTCAGATGGAGTTACTGTGCATTGTTCAACAATTTGGTGCACTTTACACAAGGAGAAGTTGTACTAATGTGAAGCAGAGGAAGCCTTTTCTCGGCCCACAGAACAGAGTCGCTTGAGGTTTGCTAAAG